CCATGAAGATGCAACATGATTCTGCCTACTGCCTACTTTGCTATGTGCCACCTTTTTATGGATACAAAGGAGCCAATGTACACCATCCCTACATAAATAAGCCTTTGGAATCCTAATGCACTAGTAATCTCACAGACTGCTCTATTTCAGTCTAAGTGCACCTGAATGCATGTGCAAATCAAGACTTGCTGCAGTTGTGCTTCTAGAAAAATGTAACCCAGTATTTTCCTACACTTAAGAAACTTACTTGACAGAGGCATTGACCAGCTAATTATGGCAACTGTGGTTTTGTTACTCCATGGTTATATGGGCTGCCTACATTTTTGAATTTTTGGAGTGTGTGTTTGTGTGTCTGTATCATAATTTGAAGAGGAAAGGAAGGGTGACTGTTTTTGGAGTGTGTGTTTGTGTGTCTGTATAATTTGAAGAGGAAAGGAAGGGTGACTAATGAATGGCAATGAATGGCAAACCTCTTTCAAATCAAAGGTGAAAAACAATATTTAGAATTAAATTTAGTATTTTGGTAGGATACATTCCAGTGGTGAACATGGCCAAAGGGGAAGAAAGAGTAGATTAAATTTTATTTCTTACTTTACATTTCTTACTGATAGTAACTAAGAGGAGGCATTTTGGCCTTTAAGAATGAGAAAAAATATACCGGTATGCAAAAGTCTGGAAATTTTCCAATTATGATGGGATAAATAAGCAGGCATGGTTATCTTGCTCCTTACGCACAGAGGCTTCTGAGGCAGACAGAAATAAGGGGATCCTGCTGAACTCCATCTAAGAAGCTAGTATTTTGCACATTTTTTCCATTAACAAAAATGCATACGCAGCAAAACTACCATATCAAATTTTATGCTTTCTTAATGTCTTGGTATAATAAAAAAGAGCAACCTTTTTCTCCATGGCTGCTTACAAAAAAGCAAAAGCAGTGCAGAAAATCCCTTCTTTTAACCCAGCAGCAGATGGCTTCTGACTGAAAAAAGGACAGAATTAATGAGAGTCTATGTAAATTTAGCAATGTAATGGTAGGAGCCAGCAGTCTGAGCTGGGCTTTAGTCATTAAATGCCTCATAAACAAATCTTAATGACAGGACTTACCTTGCAATTTTTAGTCCTTTATTGCAGACAAACTCATAGTGGTTTACAAATATAAATACAGATTATTATATGCCAAAGAATTGTATCAACAGAATAAAACAGACAAGTAGGAGTAAGCAGTTATAGGGAAAAGTTCCCCTTGACATTTAGTCCAGTTGTGTCCGACTCCAGGGGGTGGTGCTCATCCCCATTTCCAAGCCACAGAGTCAGCGTTTGTCCAAAGACGGTTTCCGTGGTGACGTGGCCAGCGCGACTGGACACGGAACACTGTTACCTTCCCACCGTGGTGGTACCTATTTATCTACTCGCATTTTTACATGCTTTCAAATGGCTACGTTGGCAGGAGCTGGGACAAGTGACGGGAGCTCACTACGTTGCATGGATTTGATCTTACGATGGCTGGTCTTCTGCCCTTGCAGCACAGAGGCTTCTGCGGTTTAACCTGCAGCGCCACCAGGTCCCCTAAGCAGTAATACTCAAGAACAAAATTCTGCAGCCTTCGATAGTACTTAGCATTGCACCCCATATAACACAGAGTCAGAGTGGAAGCTAGTAAAAAGAGAATGGTGGCTAAATGACAACTGAAAGGCCACACATCTGTAGCAGTCAGAGCCCGCCCTACGATTACCATAGTGAAGCAGAGACCTAAGGCAGCAGATGTTAGGAAGCAGCAAGAATGTTTTGGAGGTAGCAAAATGTGTTCGACCCTGGTAATGGTAGTCTTCATGTGGCAGCAGCAGACATGTGGACAGCTGCAATAACATTTGAGATGTGTTTTCTTTTTTCCAAATTCGCATTTTATTAAACTCTCAAGACTTTTCTGTCCTAAATATGTTTTTTAAAATGTGAATATTCATAGATTCTGCAAAACTAAACCAAAATGAGTTTTCTTTCCAATTGCACCAACTTCTCTCCCACTTGCTAATTCAACAGGTATCATTATTCACAGCATGGAGATAACCATGTTGTACCTCTCTATCATGTAGGTGTTAAAGATGAAGAAAGAAGTGGTAACCTCTGCTCAGCACTAGTGTGGTTGAATACAGAGCATAACACTAAAAAAAATTAAGCTTTTGGGACTGCAGCTCCCAGAATCCTCATCCAGCATTGCATGGGGGATAGTGGATGTTGCAGTCCCCAAACTTAAATTTCCAAGCTCTGATACCAGCAATAGGGACTCAAGTCACGGGATTCGCTGTCAAAGCAGATTTAAGTTGCAGTGATTCAACTTGTGTTTTTGTTTGTTTTTTTCCCCAATGACTCAGATTCAACTTGTGATTCAGAACCCACCCTCTCTCTTTTTTGCAATAGGGACTCAAGTCACGGGATTCGCTGTCAAGGCAGATTTAAATTGCAGTGATTCAACTTGTGTTTTTCCCCCCAATGATTCAGATTCAACGTGTGACTCAGAACCCACCCTCTCTCTTTTTTTCTGAAGAAAAAAAGCTTGTTTTTACTAGAGACTTGGAGCTTGGAACTTGGTACTAAAGACTTGCACCCAAAGATCTGCCAGCATCCCTGACTGATACACAGAGATTCAAATCCAGAATTTAAGAATAAACTCTGAGCTCGGATGGCATTGGAATTTTGATAAATTATTACAAAAATCAAACTGAACTCAAATTCTCACTGATCCTTAAACAGCATTACTCAGAGGCCTTGTGCTGCCCCAGTAGCTGCTACCATCCAATCCACTACACTATGGGTCTTGCTGGTGACCTTTTTCCTTTCAGGCCTTTTAATGTCCCCTTAATGTCACACTAGTAAACACTGTTAAAACAGAACAATGAACATGAAGTACCTCCTTGCAAAGAATGCAGCTAACTGGAATATGAATATGAAGAAAGAATATGAATATTAATGTCCCCTTAATGCCACACTAGTAAACACTGTTAAAACAGAACAATGAACATGAAGTACCTCCTTACAAAGATTGCAGCTAACTGGAATATGAAGAAAGAAATTGCAAAGTGATTCTTCAGATGCAGTTTATATATACACTCCCATAAAATACCCCTCCCTGGGAAAAGAAAAGACTGATGTAGGACGTTCGTTCGTTTAGTCGTTTAGTCGTGTCCGACTCTTCGTGACCCGACTCTTCGTGACTTGTATTTTAGGGGGAAATGTAGGACATTTCCCCCTAAAATACAAGTTTTATGCACACACAGAGTATTTTATGGGGGAAGCATTTAGTAAATATAATAACCCCATCTTAAAATTTTACACTAACAGCAAGGGTTGATTTTGCCTTAAGTATAGTTACAAGCAATAAATATTCAGCAGTGTAATTAATCTCAGATCCTGGCTTAATTTCAAAACTGTTTGTAATATTAAACTTGAAGGTAACCCTCAGGAGTGCTAACAGACCAATGGAGAAAGCATTTTTCAGGTTTGACATGGGCTTTTCCTTTTTAAGGACAATTAAGTAAGTACCACATATCCACAGACACTTCTTTCTATGATATCAGAATACCTGTTCATCTTGTATATAGAGGGACACAGTCCCTTGAAATCTCTGGAGTGAAAGAAAAGAGTGCTGTGAGATTTCACAACACCAAGACACAGAATAATGGGCAACATGTTGTTAACTTTTCCAATCGTTTTCAGATAAAGTGTTTGTTTCCCTAGTGAGGAGTCATGCAGTTTATAGATTTTGCTCTCAGTCCCCATTTCAGCTACACATTATGCAGAATAAGATGGTATTATTTTGTACAGTTCATATAGATTTTGCTCTCCATCCTCATCTCAAGTAAACATTATGCAGAATGAAATGGTATAATTTGTACAGTTTATGGCCGGACAGCAATGGAAATTGTACATTTAAATGCTATTGAAAGGCACCCACTGGACTTACCAAGATTTGGAAGATATAAAATACAAATGATACAACTGGGTTTCAAAATGAACTGGCAAGTCTTGAACAATCAGTTCCAGACTAGTCTTTTCATATTTTTACAAACCAAAGCCAACCAAGAAAATGAACAAAAGACAGAGGTGGTGTCTAAGCCTCCAAACCCCAAATCTTATATTTGCCTTTCTAAAGCAGAACATTATGCCTATTCACAGAAATGGGGGTTGGGATTGTTTCTTGCACTACATCTCGCAGATTTCCCAGCCAGCATGGGCAGCAGATGGGAGAATCCTGACAGTGCTGAGCTTTAGTTCAAAAAATTAACTTTTCCAAGCCGGGAGTGTTTCACATATTCGCCTGCATTACTGTTTTCCTTTTTCTCTAGGCACCTAGGTGAACTTCAAAACAAACTGCTGGACTACAGATGATTCTGGAAACCAATATTTTGTGACTATTTTTTAAAATGTAAAGTTCTATAAGAATAAGAATCAGAGGAGCAGGGTGTCTATTGGAAACTGAGTGTTTGCAGGCACATATGTGAGACACATAGGGATGTGGTGGCGCTGTGGGCTAAACCGCAGAAGCCTGTGCTGCAGGGTCAGAAGACCAGCAGTTGTAAGTTCGAATCCACGCGACGGAATGAGCACCCGTCACCTGTCCCAGCTCCCGCCAACCTAGCGGTTCGAAAGCATGCAAATGCGAGTAGATAAATAGGGACCACCTCGGTGGGAAGGTAAACAGCGTTCCATGTCTAAATCACACTGGCCATGTGACCACGGAAAGATTGTCTTCGGACAAACGCTGGCTCTATGGCTTGAAGAGCGGGATAAGCTCTGCCCCCTAGAGTTGGACACGACTGGACAAAAATTGTCAAGGGGAACCTTTACCTTTACCTTATGTGAGACACATACCTGTGTGTCTACAAGAGGAACTGCCAACCTCAGCAATGTCACTAGACTGCTTGATACCTACTGAACAAAGCAAAAAAGAATGCACGATATTGTATCATACGGTACAGGGTTTAAAAGAAGAATAGGACACTTACTCCACCCAAAAAGTGGACACACACTCCATCCCAGCGAGTAGAGCCAGACAAAAACAATGATTAGACATGTGCGCTTCTTTGAAGTCCTTTTTATGGACTGCAGAGGCTTAGTAATCACACAGTAGCGATCAACTGAAATAGCTAATAAGGTCATCATTGAGGTTATTCCAAAGAGTGCCCCGCAGAAAGCATACAGGTTGCAACCTGAAGAAGAAAAGGGAGAAGTTTTAGTTTTCAAATGGGGCAGGTGAATGGAATAGGAAAAAAACATACATATTGTTTTGCAGCTGATATTGGAATAGATCTTTCTGGATAAACCAGTGAACAAACACGGTTCTCTTTGGCCCCTTTTTTTCACATGTCTGAGGTAAGATTCCTCATGTATTAATAACTAATCCCTTCAATCATGGTGGGGCAATAATATTTTTGTTTAGGCTGACATATATAGCTTTCTTCTGCCAGGGTGCACTGACCCTTCGTGTGAGCCCTGATTAAACCTGGAAGCTTCTAATCATAATTTCCCTTTTTATCCAAACCTGGAAACTGGTCATCAGTGA